CGGGTAGACCTTGGTCCTCCCGAACTGTCTCCGGGAAGTGCGCCCGCAGAAGCTCCGTGACTCTGTCTTCCGGACTAGTCGTACATGTCCCGTCGCTGCGTTTGATTGCTATTTCCACATCCTTTGTGCCCCTGGCTAGAGCTTTATGCAGCCGAACTGCTTCTGGCGTAGTGGCGACATTCTCGCAGAATCTTCTGAAGCTAGCCTGCTTTGCATACCTAACCTCCTTATTGTATAAGGTGGGATAGCTTTTGTATTCTGCCCAGACCCCCGTACGTTTCGCTTTGTTAAACAGCCTGCGTACTTTTTTCCGGAGGTCTGCTACTTCCTTTGACCACCAATGACAATTACGTCTGTCTGTGGGCGCTTTTAGGGGACAACCGCCATGATAAGCGTTAATTACAGACCCGTTCAGCTCAGATAGCTTATTCTTCAGTCCAGGGCCTGAAATGCTATCGTCAGTTTACACCCTCCTACTGAATTCATTGCTTGCGTCCCAGTTCGCCTTCCAAGGGTTACGTCTAGGGGGGAGTTTCCTGGCCTCTACCTTTAGCTTGAACCTTATAATCCTGTGGTCTGACAGGGAGGGCTCCGTCGAGACTCTCCATTGCGAGACCAATCCGGTTGCATTCTCACTGCTAAAGGTGATGTCCAGCACCTCCCTCCAGCTTATAGTTATGAATGTGGGTGTACAGCCATGCGAATGCCTTTTACAGCGTCCGAATATCTGTTCCGCCCCTCCTCCACCCGATGGGGAGCCGGTCCAGATTGTTGCTCTCCGGGTGCCTTTCGGTTTGTGCCCCCCAACCTTTTAGAGCTGGGGGGCTCCTGCGGCGTAATCTGGCCGCTCTTTTGCTTTGCGGCTTGGGCATACGTATCCGCGGTCAGTGTCCTGCTATCGCCACGCCTTGCGGCGGGGTTATTGGCGGCGCTCGTTGCTGCTACAGCTGCACCGCGGCAAGGTGCCTACCACTCGCAGAGGTGATACAGTATCAAGTCTCAAATTTTGAGACTTGAGACGATTTTGCTATTCTGTAAGTGACAGTCGCAAAATCTATTACATTTCGTTATTCAGAGATGTTTTTATACTTGAATGAAAATAAATATGTCGATAACAAATATTAAATTTTCTTAA